CAAGAACCAATGACATGGTGCATTTTTCTTGCCGGAAACTGAACAACATGTTGCAATTACAAAATACTGAATTACCAAATTAGACTGGCTATGAATACAAAAAAGCTCCGAAATTTAGCAAAAATTTAGCAAACGTCTGGTAATTAGTTGATTACTTCCTAAATGAGAAGTAAAATATGAAAGCTGGCAGCTGTTTTTTTGGCTACTTACCTAAATAAATTCATTAAAAAATGAAAAAGCAAAACAATTTTTTCCTAGCTGTTGTTCAGTGCTGTGATAGCCCGACTACTTTGAAACCCTTTCCTGCTCTTATCAAGTGTCGTTTATTTAATTTACACTTGTGGCATGAATACTGTAGTCAATGAGGCTTGCACATTTGATTATCTTTCTGTTACCATAGCAGTAGTAGTGAAGTCAAGTTGAATTTGTTGTTACAAATTTCCGCACCGTTTATCACTATACTCTCTGCCTCAAACTGCCATTTGCAACCAAAGTAGCAATTTTTGCTCATTTTACTTCTGGCGGATGAACCAATCAATGGGTTTAGGTTCGGTGACAACAGTCAAAACCTAACCACTTCAAAAATTTTAAAAAATTTATAATGATCAGCTCGGCATAGCAAATTCAAATAATACTCTTCAAATTTTCACAATGATCTCAACTACCAAATTCCCTAAACTCAGTAAAATGCAAGAATAAAGAAAATACGTAGTTAACTTTCACTCCCACTGAATACTCATTTAAAATTAATGCTTTTTTAAATGCAACATTCAAAACATTGCTTAAATAATACGGTACAAACGAAAAGTGAACAATGAAGAAAGAAACAACTTTCTATAGAAACTAAATTTATACTACAGCAAAAAAAGTAATTTGAAGCAATTTTTGTGTAGTCAGTTTAGGTGGACTTTTAACGGTAGTCTTCAGTTGCCTGCAAGTTTAAAACACTTATTTGAAGTTCTAATAACGAGATTAAACTGTTGCAATTTTATTATCAGTGATTATTTGACGCTTTACTCAAAAAAAAAAAAAAAAAAACTTTTTTACAAATCTTTTAGGGTTCGGACCAATAAAAAACGTTTTTTCTTCTCAACCAACACAATTTTTAAGCTAAAAACAAGGAAAAAATAACTTCATTGCTCAACGTGAAAATAACGGTTTTATGGTATCAATTCCTTGTAATTACCATAGCTTACGAAGTTATAAATTTAATGTTCATTTTTAATGCTCAGATATTGCATTGTCTATTGCACGTAAACTGACAATGAAAATAACGTATTTCTCCCATCACTCTTGTTCCCAACTTTTTCACACCTGAATAGAGGTTCTTGTACAAAAATCCTTGATTATACTCAGAAAGAAATCTATAAGAACTGAGACTAGAACTCAGTATATCTACAGTAAGTACACCACTAATGTACAGTTTACTGAAATTAATGCAAAAATTAACGGCAGAGCCGTGAAAGAAGCACCAACCTTCTAGGTCAATGTTGCCGTCGTCATCCCGATCGGCACTCCTAAACATAGTATCAAGTTCGTCTTCGGTTGGGCATTGTCCCATTCGAACCATCACCTCTTTGAGCTCATTTTTCTGTATCAGCCCGTCACCGTTCAAATCAAATTCCATAAAAATTTGCTTCAGATCATCATCGTTTAATTTCCCATCATCCTATAAAATTTATAACAAAAAATAAAATTTCTTTAACATACTTCAAAAAAGACAAAAAATACATGTGGCTAGCTAGCACCAGCAAATTCATTTTTTGGTTGTTATTTTCAACTTTTCAGTGCTTAAACTGTCACCAAGCTAAGCAACTTAAATTCTTCTAATCAACCAATTTAATGCTGCTCATTAAGCACTGCCAATAGTAGCTTATCCATGAATCCAAAAGGAGAAAAACAAATATATGCTCCTCTCTCAAAAAAACTGAAAAATAAAAAGAAAAATTAACTTTCTAAAAAACCTGTTCTTTTGATTTTATCAAAAAAATGAAAAAAAAAGTGCTAACGAGCTTAGTCCAAGCAAACAAAAAAAAAAAGATAGCTTTTATTTTATTTTAGAATAATAAATTACACTAGTAAACTATAAAGAAATTAAAATTGACAGATAATAACAGAAATAGATCCGCTTATCTTTGCTGGCAGATATTTCAATTTTTTTTTTGATTAGCATAACACAGTATGCGTTAGCATTCTTTGCTCTTACAATTTTGAAAATAAATCAAACTAAAATTCGATTATTTTTAGAAACTGACGATAAGCAGTTATCAACTTACTCAGTAACTTGATAATTGCTTTTTATCATTTTATATAAATTTTCGTTCAGTCATTCAGTCAGTCATCCTGTCAATCAGTCAGTTAGTCAGATCAGTTAAACCATTCAGTTTTCAAAAATGCAAGAAAAATTCCCAGTACAATCTTATCAGTAAATTAGAACCTTTCAACAGCTTATCGCAAATATTCATAAAATTTTTCCAGCCTTTCCTTAACCCCCTCTTCTTTCTTTGCTGTCCTCCTGCACCACCCACTTTTCCTCGCCTTTCCTCCTATCTTCAATTCTTCACGTCCTTCAGTTTTCAAATTGCTTTCTGCCTTTGATTACCAGGAAACAGCAGAAATAAAAAGAACTATTTGCTTATCTTGCTTTTCTTGTCAGTCAGTAATATTTGTTAGAAGCACGTAAAAAACTGCTTGAAAGGTTCTACTGAAAAACTACTTTCAATTGTCGTCGACAACAACTGAAAACGGAGATTTGAGAAAAAAGGTTGAAAAGACAAATAAACAAGACTAAATTAGCAAACTCCATCTAAAAAACGTTTCAAAGACATAACAACAAAAACATCTGAATATTTATGTGTTTGCGTGTATAAAAATTTATGAAAAAAATTCTATTAAACTGCAGAATATTTGAGAGCAATGAGCAGTACCTAACTGCCATATCGAATACGTTGTTAAATTTCTTCCTAACATTTAACTATAAGTCTAAATGTTCCAAATGAATGTTATCAGCAAAGCGAAAATAATACACTACGAATTAAAGCACAGAAAAGTTGTATCAGTGCGCATCTCCTAATGTTGATTCAGCTTTCATTCTAGTTTCCTTTTTCGTCAATCTAACACTTACCTTAAAAATCAACACTTATTCCACAGAACAAAAAAAACTACTCTTTTTCTTCTTCATGCTCCATCTATTTAAAAAAAAACGCTTAAAAGCACCATATCCAACGTTTTTGTGTCTGATTTAAATTGTTTCATCAGATTTATCAGTTGTCTAGCAGTGGTTGAAAATTTGCAGTAAAAACGCTGCTGTCAACCAACAACAACAGTTCTGAAATCCACAATAAATGTGTGAAATAATTGAAACTAAAAAAAAACCTTCAAGTAAAAAAAAAAAAACAACAACAGCAAAATTTCAACCTTCAATCTTTTACCAATCTTTTGGCTTTTTTCGCAGAACTAATCAAGTATATAAACAATTTTTGCTGACTGAACCTTAAAAACGTTTTTTTTTTTTTTGCTATCAAAGAGTCAGATCCAAATCAACCAAATCTATTAACATTTTTAGTAAAAAAGGAAAAAAATCCTGATAAGAATCCAAGAAAAAATCGAAGCAACGTCTAAATCCCAAACGGTTACAATAATAAGCATTTTCATCTGCATTTTTCTCGCATTTTTGTTATCAAACAAAAGCATAAATAAACCGAAAGTAATCAGTTAGCAGAATATTTGTGCATCTAAATTCTTTCTTGATCAGTAGTCAGTTTATTCAAGAAACAGATGATATAGTTGTATCTCAAACGGGATCCATAGAACTAAACTGTAACTTATCTTCTGCAACTCATAAACGATAGACAAAATTTAACCACTTTTTAATGTGAAGTTATAAATTTTGACCAAAAAGAAAAAAAAAATTTCCACTTCTGCTTTAACACACACAAAGACATACAAACCAATTTCCCCAACCTCCTAACAAAAACAAAAGTCAAAAAAAGAAAAAAATTTTGTTGTATGGTGCTGCAGTAAATTTCGAAGAAAATTAAGAGAAGTTGTGGAAAAAAAATTGCTTAATGTATCAATAAATCAAGTTTCTAAAACAATAAAATTTCTGACTTGTCCGTGCTTCAAGTTGTTCTGTTCAAAGTTCATCTCATTCATAAACCCTTTTCATCAGTCTGAAAAAAAAAAAAAAAGAAGAAATTTTTTCCCCTTTTACTTACATTAATAGTTGATTTTTTTTTACCCATACAATTCCAAAACCAACCACTGTTTCAATTGATAAACAAATTTTACAGTGTGTAAAATGTTAAATTTTTCTTTCAGTTTCAGTAAAGTACAAGAAATTTTCCAAATTTCATTGTCATTGATTCTTTCATTTTCAATTTACTCCGATGCCCTCGCCCTTCCCCTTCCACCCTAAAAAAAAAAAAAAAAAATATGGAAAAAACAACGTAATACCACAATTTACAAATACCAACAAAAACAGACAACACATAAATATAGGTTTGCAAAACAAAAACAAGCAAAAAAAAAATTTATTTATTTTTTTTTTTTTCAAATTAAATTTATTGAAGCAAAAAATTTTCGAAAAAATGATACTTTCAACCCAAAGATATAAAGTACAAATGATTGTTTGCAGCGATCGTTCAGTTTGTTATATCTGAACTTAATTAGTCCATAGGTTTAACACACAGAAACTCATAAGCTAAACTGCGCTAAACGATCCTTTGACCGATACTATTTAAATTGCTGTTGACTTCCGATTAAAAGTGCTTTTTGCTGTAGTAATAGCAATCAAATTTTTAGAAACTTCAAAAAGTTAATAATGAAAAAAAAAAAGTAGCGAAAAAAAAAAGGAAGAAGTTAATTTATATTTAAAATATTTAGCAAAAACTAAATTAAATGAAAAATTATTCAAGCGGAAACTGTCATTATTTGGCTACCAATAAAGAAAAAAAAAAGAAAACAAAAACCAAAAAAAAAAAAAAAA